TATGTTTGTGCGTCTGGGTGTGTGTGGGTGTGTGTATGTATGTGTGTGTCTGTGTGTGTGTATGTGTGTGTGTTTGTGTGTGTATGTGTTTGTGTGTGTTTGTGTGTGTGTGTATCTATGTGTGTGTGTGTGTCTATGTGTGTGTGTTTGTGTGTGTGTGTGTGTTTGTGTGTGTGTTTGCGTGTGTGTGTGTGTATCTATGTGTGTGTGTGTGTGTGTGTGTGTGTGTCACGACGATGTGGAATTAGGCGCCTGTCTATTTTGGGGCATTTGGAACTAAAGTTATCCCCTTAAAGCCAGCCCATTGGCCTTGTTTTTTAATTTTTTTTAGAAGTCCATTTATGCTGGACGCAAATGAAGATATTGTCTTTTGAAGGAGGTGGAGGTCGCCTGGTTTCAGACGTAAAATTAGCGAGAAAATGTCCTCTAAAGGTGATTCTTTTCCTTACCCTGCGAGTCCACGGAAACTGAAAATTTACATCTTTTATGACTTTAATTAACTTTTTTTTTCAAAAGTAAAATTCGCACAGAGATGTGTTCTTTAAAGGTCATGAACGATTTGAACTTTAAAAAAAATCCTATTAAAAAAACCCCCAAAACCTGCGGAAAAAAAGCCAGTATATAATCACACACATACACGCACACACTTGAATACAAAAACACATATAAAACCTAACCTACCCAGAGCCGTTGACAAGAGTGACCACGTAGCTCCTGAGCACACTGTCCTCCTCACCACCTCCTCTCACTCCAGTGACGTTCACGTCCGCACTCATAGCTACGATGACGTCACGGTGGACTTCCGGCTGACCAGTAAGTGCCACAGTGGCAACGGATCAAGGTAATTGATGACGTCAAAATATAGTTTGTGGCAACGGGACAGGGAAATAAGTTAATAATGAGTTGTGGGTTTTCCTTTGGATATCATAATCTCCTACAGACGTCACAGCGCGCGTCGCATCCCTTGAGTAAATCCAGCCAGCCCTGTAATAAGCAAAAAAAATTTGATTGTGAAAATTGTGATCTAATTATTTGCAATTCAAGGGGTCAAGTGAAGGACTAAAAAAATTCAATTCATGTAAAAAAAACAAGCAAAAAACAAATCAGCACAACAATGACTGTAAGATATCTTTATCAAATCAATCAATCAAGGGAAAGTCATTAGCAAACTGTATTTTTATAAATGCAAATCAAGTTAAAGAAGAAGCCGAGCCCATTATTTTAAAAAAAGGACTAGCTATACCATGGTAAGATTAATACGGCTTTACTTGCTTTGCACCTAAATCAACCCACTTTTTGACCATTTTGGAGGTGGGTTGCTTCTACGTTGCCTGTCTCTACAATCCCAGCAGACAATGAGGGAGATCCCGAATTGAACATAAAAAAGTTTCCCCTATTCTTAATCAGACGCATGTTTTCTATGTGCGCCAGTAAACAGTCAAACCCCTACACTTCTAACAATGATGGAAACATTATCATGTTACATCATTTCGTGAACTTGAATCTGTTTAAAAATTATTTTTTTAAAATTGTTCATTCTACTTTCACTTCGCAGAATTGCAGCATCCTGGCATAGAGGAAGACCGGCGTCTGTGACATAGCGGGTAAAGGCTTCGCCGTCTGAACAGGAGACCTTTACTCACGTATATTCCGCCTTCCGCCAAGATGTCTAAGATCAGGAGATCGGTTGCTTATAAAAACGCCTAGGAAAGTAGGTTAAAAACTCGCTGGGATACCATTTTCATATCTTACCCCCTGTGTCTAGAACGCT